GGGTCACGTGGCGTCGCTTCCCAAAGGGAGAAGGGCCGCAAATCCTCCTGGTCCTTGTAGTTTCCGAGAGTCCAGGATACACTCTGCACATGCGCAAAGGGCGAAGCCCGCCCGCCCGCCTTAGGAAAGCAAATTTAAGCGCGTGCGTGCAATAAGTCCGCCCCCCCTCCCCGTAGATTTCATATTTTCGGCATCTTTTCTTTGCACGGGCCGGGCACAACGTATTGGACTGCAACCCCCATTATCCACAGCCCCCACCACTTTTGCACAGGCTGGTCTGCGGAAGATGGGGAGTTGTAAGTCGAAAACGCCCACAGCCATCCGCTCTCTCGCTGCTTCCCGGGTACGTTTCGCGTGACTTGCACGCTCTTGCTCGCCTCCAAACACGCAACCACAATATAAGACGCTTCCGGGCGCTGGAGTTTTCTTGCAAGCCAGATTTGGAGATTGACTGGCTTGTTGGGATGCAAACGCACCCCCTTGCAACGGATTGTATCAATCCTAGCTAAATGCACCCCCCACGCCTCCTAACTGCCCTGTGTTGTTCGGATCTTTTACACCCCCAATTAGGCGCAGAGGCTCCACCAAGCCGTGCAGCTGGCTCAGCGGGTGCGTGATTGCAAACGGCAGGCAGCCAACCGCCTTTCCGCAGTGGAAAGCGGTTGCAAAAGGGCGGGATTTCTCCTGAGCCACGGCGCCAAACTCGCAAATGCACCGCGCAAGGCTGCAAGAGCCGTATCGTCTCCGCCGCTCAGCCCGGCTCTTGCGCGCATGCGCGGCGCGCGAGCCTGCGGGTGCAACAAGCGGGTCCCGGAGATTCCATGACTCAGTGCTAGAGAGCGAGGGAGACACGCCCCCTTCGAGGCCAGCAGAGACCCGGATGTGCGGAGCCGCGTGCAGGGGCCGCGCCTGCGCGTTAGGGCAGAAGGGAGCGGGTGCGCGCGCGCTTCTCGCTCGTTGGGGGTGTTTTACCTCAGTTTACGGGCGCAAAGGAAAAAAATAACATTTTTTAAAAAAAAAACTGAGGTAATGTTGAGATTTAAAGCAAACAACCCAAGTTTGCCGTTGTGGCGCAAATATGACACAAAAGCCCCGCTTCTGTCGACCCCGCGCTTTTTTTTTTACCTCACGAAAAAAATGCTGAGGCGAGAAAAAGCATTGAGGTGCCAGGTTTGCTTTGTCATGGATACGGCATAATTGAAAATCCACATTAAAATTCCTTCTGTCGCGCAGGAGAGCGCTTTAATTCTTAATTTCACAGTCTTTCCTTTGCCGACAAAATGTCAGTAAAAAGCGGCAGAGAAAAGGATGGGAATCCTGAGGCCCTACACAGGCACTTTTTTTTTTTTTAACCTCAGAATGAGCCTCCATGTCAAGATTTCTTGGGTTCAGCAGCAAATGTGGCTTTTCCTGGTGGCTGCTTTAAGAGGAGTCCCTCCCTGCCTGTATTTTTATTTATTTCACTTCTACATGAGCTCTTCTCACCAAAAATTTAGTCAGAATTTGAACCAACAGAAAACTAGGAAGTCTCCACCTTTTGTTCCAAACCAAGAAAATGGCTTCTGGTATCATCATTAAACAAAATCCATTTGATCCTTTAGTAGCCCCAAGATAAACTCCCTTGATCCCCTTTTTTGTGAGAAGATCCCTCAGAGATCTTATGAGGGGAAACCTATTGGTAGAGATTAGAATGATCAGGACAAAATGTTTGCCTTAAAAACACCTTCAAATGGAATATTTTTCATTTAAACCTAGGACACCAGGTACCTTAAGGTACTAAGGAAGCCACCAAGGTGAAAATTCCTGTGTGGAGAGCTTTATGTTTGTGTAATTCCACCATTTGCTACCCACAAAAATGGTGGCCACTATCTGGAATGGCTTTAAAAGGCGATTCATGGAGGACAGGTCTACTCTATCATCCCTGAAGACTCAGCCCCACTTCTGGGGTCTCCAGGTTGGAAGCAGATGCCTCCAAGCCCCACTTGTAGAAGAACATCTCCCCCTTGGGAACTGCTTGGAGGCATCTGGCCTAAGATGGTCCTCAGGTGGATGGAAAAGAGCTCATTTTAGCCTCTCACAATTGGTGTAGTTCATTCCTGTTAAGACAGGATGGTGGCTGTTATCTGAAATGGCTTTAAAGAGGAATTCATAGGGGACAGCTCTATTCTTATCATCTTTGAAGACTCAGGTCTACCTCCATGTTAGGAACAGGTGCCTTCAAGTCCCACTCGCAGGGGATACCTCCATTTGTTATTTGGGAGTTCCTTATAGCATCTGCTTGATGGAAAGGTGCTCATTTACAGAATAACAGAGTTGGAAGGGTCTTCTATTCCAGGGGTCTTCAAACTTGGCCCTTTTAGGACTTGTGGACTTCAACTCCCAGAATTCCTCAGCCAGGCACATGTCCACAAATCCTAAAAGGGCCAAGTTTGAAGACCCCTGTTTTATTCCAACATCTGCCCAAGCAGACTTCAACTTCACACAATCTGTGGAGCTCATTCCTACAAAATGTGGTGATCACTATCTGGAATAGCTACCGGGGGATTCATGGAGGATGGTCCTATCAGCCTTGAAACGTAAGAATGCTTCCAGGTTGAGAGCAGATGCCTTCCACTTGGAAGAGAACATCTCCATACCCTCCTTGGAGGCATCTAGCCTAGGATGGGCCTTGGGCTGATGGGACGGGACTTGCCTTAACGCTTCAGCCTATGGGACTCATGCCCTCAAGAGAACCACTAGGGAATGGCTTTAAAGGGGGACCCTTAGAGGACAGATCTACCCCGTCAGTCCTAAATACTACTTCCAGGTTGGGAGCAAACCCCACTTAGAGGAGAACCCCAAAAGGAGAGAGGAACATCTCCGTCTCCTGATTGTGAGCATTCTGGAAGCATCTGGTGGGCTTCATTAGGCCTTGGCCTAATCTGGGAAGAGTGGTTTGGTGTTCTAGAAGGGGTACCCAGCACAAGGGTGCCATCTTTGACAGCTGTCCTCTTGACTTTCAAGGAGCAGCTGGAAAAGGCAGTCCAGAATGGCTCTTAGCTGCAAGGCAGGTGCATTTGCAAGCCTTGGATAGAGAAGCTTAAGTCTGTCATGACTTAAAAAAAAAGGTTTCTGTTCTTTAATTTGAGTCCAGAAACAAGGAAGCTAGTCAAGAACTGTTGCTCATAAACCAACATGCAACAACATATTGCAGTAAGGAAGCCAGGATGTTGTTACTTGGAGCCCAAAGAATTGTAGACAAATTAACAGTCGCTAGGAGAGATTTTGCAAGTTTGAATGTTAACTTAGATGTGTGCCCATTTTCACATAGCTCAGAAAGTACCATCATCGTCTCCTATCCCTAGATTTCTGCAAAGGACCTATCCTAATCATTATCCAAGAGGCAAAAAAGTCCCAATATTTATTCTGAGATCTTCAGTAAAATGAGACGTGGCATTTTTGTAGACCCCCCTCAAGGGCTGGGATTTGGGGGCACCACTAGGTCAGTGTGATGCGCTGTGGGTCTCAATCCTCCCGTCCTGTTTCATTTAAAATCTGCATGAAGCCATCGAGCGAGGTCATGCTATGATTTCAGAGAAGGAGTCATCAGTGTGCAGATTTTTATTTATTTATCAGATTTATACACTGCCCGTATCACCTAAGTGACTCTGGGCAGTTTACAATACAGGTAGTCCTCGACTTACAACAGTTCATTTAGTGACCGTTCAGACTTACAACGGCACTGAAAGTGACTTATGACCGTTTTTCACAGCTATGATCCTTGCAGCGTCCCCGTGATCCTGTGATCAAAATTCAGATGCTTGGCAACCGGTTCACATTTATGATGGTCGCAGTGTCCTGGGGGGGATGTCATGTGATCCCCTTTTATGACCTTCTGACCAGCAAAGTCAATGGGGAAGCCAGATTCACTTAACAACCAGGTTGCTAACTTACCAACTGCAGTGACTGAGGCAAAAACAGAGGCAAGAAAGGTTGTAAAACGGGGCAAAACTCACTTAACAAATCTTTGCAATATCTTTTTGATGCTGCTATCCCCTTCCTCTCTTGTTTAGTTTGTGAGTGAGACAGGCTTAAGCTGACCTTAGCTGTACTGGTGTTATTTTCCCCTTATTCTGACATCGCAGAAGGGCAGCCTAAGCGTGTAAGATAAGATAAGATAAGATAGATAACCTTTATTGTCATTTTTTTACATTTATATTTTTTTATCTGTTAGGATTTATGGCCCCTTACCTCCAAGGGAAGCTGGGAGGGCAGTGATGGGAAATAGGCGGGAGAAGGAGAAAGCCATTCTGCCGACAGGAATGGCTGGATTCAGCTCCTAGAACAGCGGTTCTCAACCTATGGGTTGCAACCCCATTTGGGGTCGATCGACCATTTCACGGGGGTCGCCAAGCAAGGCTGTCTGCCATTTTTTCCCCCTTTTCCGGCGGGTGCCTTACCTCCCTTGAGCTGGGCCAGCTGGTGGTCGGCCTGCTCCGTCTCTGCCGCTTGCCAGCTACGCCTCGGCCGGCACAGGGGGCGGAACCACGCATGTGCGGTGCTCCCGGGCAGGGAAAGTCCTCGACTTATGACCGGTTGGGTAGTCCTCGACTTACGTCCGGTTTAGTCCTCGACTTACGACCGGTTGGGGGTCGCGGCATTAAAAAGGTTGAGAACCACTGTCCTAGAACATCCTTCTCTTTATTTTTGTCAGTCTGTCCCAGTTCTCTGTCGATGCAGGTGCAACACACTTGGACATGTACCGCCATGTGGTGAAGAGACGGTTTATTAACAGATTTTACTGTGGTTTTATTACGTAATTAGATTTAGATATATACAGTAGTGTAGTATTAATGGAGTGAAAGAAAGGGGAATCTTGGGGAATTTAAGCTAGTGGGATAGCAGGTTCCCTCTTTTAAAGGTGGCATAAATAACACGCACTTTGCCTTTTCTCTCTGTTCCTCCTCTTGTTTTTCATAAAACAGACGTAAAACAAAACCATTCGGACAGGTTGATGAACAATGACAAGCCAGAGCAAGAAGAACGGTAAGTGATGGTCAGTCTGTACTCCATTCTTTATGTATTAAAGTAGCTACATCTCCAGGGGCACTGCAATCTTTTGCATTACTTCTTCCAACACAGTTTTTTGCATGTTTGCAATTTTTTTTACTATTTTTACGACTGTTATTAGTTTTAGGGACTGGTGCTCATGCATTATACTTGTTGCTTGGATGCTCCTGGGACAAGCCTTGTGCGTCTTCCCTCCTCATAGTAGTGCTACTACAGGTTGTCCTTGACTTACAACTGTTCATTTGGTTACAATGGCACTGAAAAAAGTGACTTGTGACTGTTTTTCACACTTACAACCCTTGCAGCATCCTGGTGGTCCAGTGATCAAAATTCAGACGTTTGGCAACTGACTCGTATTATGACGGCTGCAGTGTCCTGGGGTCACGTGACCCCCTTCTGCGACCTTCCAACAAGCAAAGTCAATTGGGGAAGCCAGATTCACTTAACAACCGTGCTACTAACTTTACAGCTGAGGCGATTCACTTTACAACTATGACAAGGAAGGTTGTAAAATGGGGCAAAACTCACTTAGTAACTGTCTCGCTTAGCAAAGGGAAATTTTGGGCTCCACCGTGGTAGTAAGCCGATTCAAGTCTGGAGGGTTTTGCTTATTCCATTCCTGCTTTGGCAGCATTAGCTGCCATGGTGATGCTTGTTTTCGTTACACCCAGGTCAGTCACCACGATGCAAATTTGTTCCGCCCTTGTTCTCTAAGACTGGTCAACAGCTTCTTCCAAGTGCTGTTCTTCGACTTTCTCTGTGGTCAAAACTGGACTTCTTGGTCCCCTGCCCCGGTATCGTCATGGCCTTGCAGAACTAATCAGGGTGGAAATTATTCATTGCTGCTTACTACCTTCTGCCACAGCCCCTGCCCTTGACAGCTGGCTGGGTTGTTTTTACACACAGGTGCAGCCCTAGCACCATCTTCTTCCTAATAGCTAGCAGGTGAGGGAGAGCCCTGGGTGAGCTCCTTCCCCCCCCCCCCCCTTGCTTGCTGCTTGCTGGAAGACCCACCAACCTCTTTCTTTAACCTGATCCACCATCAGGAAGAAAGCTCAACGCTGAATGCCGCTACTGCGGCCAAATAGGGGCCAGCAAATTCATGCTGGTGCACCTTTCAGCAGGCTCAGTTCAAGAGCCCAATTCCGGCCTCAATTAACTCTCTCAGAAAAAAAGGGAGCCCGAAGAGGCCTGCTAATACCGCTAGTCCTCAACGTACAATCCCATTTCAGCCCCGAATTTCCACAGCTCAGCGAGACGTTTGTTACCTGAGTTTTGCCCCATTTTACGACCTTTCTTGCCACAGTGGTTAAGTGAATCACTGCAGTTAAATTAGTAACACAGTGGTTAAGTGAATCTGGCAAAAGGGGTTCACACGACCCCAGGACACAGCAATGGTCGTAAATAACGAGTCAGTTGCCAAGCGTGTCCAAATGTTGATCCCGTGACCATGGGGGTGCTGCAACGGTCACAAGTCACCTTTTTCAGTGCTGTTGTAACTTTGAACAGTCACTAAATGAACTGTTGTAAGTCGGGGATTACCTCACCCTACCCAGTGTGCATTCTTGAAGTTAGGGAAAGGGGAAAGAGCTGGTATCTTTCCAATTTCTAGGTAAAAGTCAGAGCCCTGAGCAAAGAATAAAACGTCGTGAATTTGTCTTCTTTTTCAAAAACAGAAAGCAAGAGTCGTTTCCGGAGTTGCTACTGAAAATGGGAATTTGTCTCTTACTACGGCCTCCGAATGAAATAAAAGGAGGTTATAGACCAAAATAACAATAACAATATGTTAGCTTGTATAAAGTAATCCCTGGTGGATTGCGCTCTGTGTAAGTTAGGATTGCTCCTTTTTTTCTTTTTGTCTTACTACAGTGCAATAAGACAAAAACAAAGCAGCAATCCTAACTTACACAGAGCACAGTTTATACACTACTAATGAAGACGTGGTTTCTCTCCTTCCAGAATGCAACAAACTGCCCAAAAGAGTCTTTGCTCCTCCCGTAGTGAAGTCCTACAGCCCACCCGTTGGAAAAGGTGAAATGGAGCTTCACGGCAAGCCAGAAGATGGAGTTACAGCCAAATCCATAATAAATATGTTGCCAGTGCAAAGTAAAAGACTGAAAGAGAGGACGGCTAATGTAGAAAAGAAATCTCAGTGCAAGAAGAATTTGGAAATGATTGAGAATGTAGGTGTGACAATGGATTTTGTTTCCTTGAGTGAGATTCCCAAGCCAGAGTTTCAGAACAGGAAAAATTGGAATACTGGAGTTTCATATCACCAGCTTCTCCTTGAAAAATTAGGATGGACAATTAACATTTCAATTTTCTTTTTTCTCTGTATTTGCTTTACATATAAGTTCTTAGCTGGAAAAGCACAGGACAATTTACAAAGGCAAAACAACGCCACATAAATGCCTGACTTCTGTTAAAATATTTTCTCTTTTTGGGGGGCAA